AAACAGACCTTAATGTACTTTTTGTTACTATTTTTTTAGTTTTATACTATGAAATAATTAATGCTCCTACAAACAAGTTATTGTAAATACTGATTAATACTCTGTAGCAATTGGCATAATTGTCTAGGTGTTCATTAGAATGATAGCAATCATTCTAATCACAGAACAGCTTTAACTTGCCTTGTGAGTTTCAGAACAGTATCCATTTCTCACCCATACAATAAAGAAGCTGGACCAGATGACATCTAAAGTTTCTGACAATTCTAAATGTTAATATTGCTATATAACTTAGCCAGTCTACTTTCTTTTTTTCTAAACTTCTTAAATCAGCATTTTCCCTAAAATTAGTGAAAGCTTTCCAAAATGCATCATGTTTTAGAAAATTAAAATTAAAATCTATTTCAGACTAGGAATTGAAAATAGCAATTTCCTTACAAATAAATCAAAGTCCTTTATTTCCCACCAACCACGTTTCTAAGAAAATGGAAGTATTTTTAAGATTCAGAAATCTATAAAACCTTTAAGAAACAGTTACTGAAAGTAAAACTAAAAAAAAAAAAAAATTCTCAAGAGCCTAGGTGGCTCAGTTGGTTAAATATTCGACTTTGGCTCAGGTAATGATCTTGCAATTTGGGATTTAAGCCCCACAGTAGGCTCTGTGCTGACAGCTCAGAGCCTGGAGCTTGCTTCAGACTGTATCTCCCTCTCTCTCTGCCCCTCTCCTGCTCGCACTCTGTCTCTCAAAAATAAACATTAAAAAAAATTTTTTTAAAGTCTCATTTCTTACTAAGATGAAGCTTTGTATTAGGAAGTTATTACAATAAAAAAATTAGCAAATTACCTATTTTTGGATGATCCACAATATTTGAAAAAATAACTCCTTTATTCTGTATAATTTTATACCATAATAACTTTCCTGAATTTCTAAAACGTATATGCAATTACTTTCACATACCTCTTCAAGGAAAGGTTTCATTAACCACTGCAAACACTGATTTATTAAATAAAATAGAAGTCCATGCTTTATAACTCAGCATTAAATTTCTCACAGAGAAATCAAGAAAGAATATTCCCTATCATAGATAGTTATTAACTGTCTTTGTTAAGTCTTCCAAATAATATTTCATAAAAGAAATCAAGTTAAGTGGGAGCTGCCTTTACAGATGATGCCTGTGCTTTGGCCATTCTTCGAACCAGTGCTTCTTGTCTTTTTCTTTGAATTTCTTCAGGAGAATATTTTTTATTTTTCTCTTCTTCCTCTAAAAATTAAACAAAATATAGATATTACTTTTATAGACTACACAGTCATCTTGAACATGAGTTTTAATTTTTTACTTTTATCATCCAGACTTGCCACACTGGTATAACTATTAAATCACACTAAACTACTAAATACGATATTTGATGTACAGATACAGTGTTCTAGGCCAAAAGAAAATCAAGTACTGATCAATCCGTTCCTATTTTATACACCTTTCACAGTGTGATAAAATTCATTTGATTAAAACTGTACATTTTGACTTCCCAGCATATAATTCTTATGAATAAAATCTAATTTATATAATTGACAAATGAGTATTTTTTAAGAACTAGAATTTTATTTTACTTTTTAGTTGTCTTAATGTTTTATTTATTTTTGGGAAAGAGAAAGAGTACGAGAGGGGGACAGCACAGAGCCTGATGCAGGGCTTGAACTTGTGAACCATGAGATCATGACCTGAGCCGAAGTCCAATGCCTAATAACATACTGAGCCACCCAGGTATCCCCAAAACCTGGGATTTTAGATGTTATATATAAACTTCAACAGAAAGGTAGTCAAAATATAATGAATTCAAATATCAACACCTTAAATAGTATACATTTACTATAAGCTGTATCAATATTCATGCTAATTTTTTTTCCTCTAGAGAGCTCTAAGATTTTCATTTTAGCCATTCAGGAAAAAATGTTTTAGAGTGATCCAGTGAAATCTATCATGTCAATAAATATATAATTCACTGTCAGATGTTTTTATTTGGAGGACACATTTTATATAAACATTAGAAAATTATTTCAGGGGCACGTGAGTGGCTCAGTCGGTTGAATGTCCAACTTTGGCTCAGGTTATGATCTCATGGTTCAGTTTGTGAGTTTGAGCCCTGCATAGGGCTCTCTGCTGTCAGCACAGAGCTGGCTTCTGATCCTCTTTCCCCCTTTCTCTGTCTGCCCCGCCCCCAGTCATGCTCACTATCTCTCTTTCTCTCTAATAAATAAACATTAAAAACATTTTAAAAAGATTATTTCAAAGAGCATTAATATCTGAATGAAAACTTCAATTCGAATGTCTTTTTAATATATAAAAATGTGAAGCATTCTGACATTCCTATGCAGCATATTTTAGTATGCTTTTAGTATACTTTAGGTAAATGTACTATAAAATAAACAATGTGTTTTAAATTAAGTAAATGAAAATAAAATTAAGTTTGATATTAGTAACATCCAATTCTACCTCTGCCAAAATACGGAGTTCTAATAAAATGAATTTAATTCCAGAGTTAAGTCACTTTGAGCTAAAATATTAGATTATCTATGTAATGCTAATAAGAATCAAACTTTGAAATTAGCAAACATATTTTCTCATTTAAATGATGTTTCAAAATTAAGACCATCATATTTAAGCAACCTTGTATTGGTAAAACTGTTTATGTTGTAAAATCTGTCTCTCATAGAATAACAATCTGTAGTACTGTTGGCAGAGAAGTATTATTTACACTAACATCTAGACACAGGTTTAGAATTTGTTCTAAGACATTTCTCTTATTACCTAAGGGAGATTATTTGTCCAAAATACATTATCTGTCTCCCCTTCCTTTCTTGGTATAATTGGAAATGGGAGAGGGTATTCAGGGTAAGAGAGAAATATTTCAGATAAACTCCCTAGATGACTCTGATGACTTATTTCCTAAACTTATTACCTCAAAGATTTGTAGCTATTTCTCCCTATAGAAAGATGCTACAAGATACTTTATAATTAGCTTGACTAATCATCTAATATTTTAGTCTCAAAGCTGAGAAATACAAGAAACTCAGAATTCACACATACACAGTTGCATTCAATTGACCACAAGTTTGGAAGGAAAACAGATTAATAATCCACGACAGCAGAAAAGAACATAGCTCCCTAAAACTGGGTTTACAACTAACATGGTGAAATTCTTGGAAAAATAATTTCAAATGATATAAAGTCACACCATGAAAATTTGATTTAGAGAGAGTCACCCTTTTCTCTCATCAGCCCTTCCTTTAGCTCATTCTGCAATAAACATACATGGCAAAGTTTCAAACTATTTCAAGGTACAAAGCAAGAGTGGCTCTTTTTTTTTTTTTTTTTTTTTTAATGTTGGTTTATTTTTGAGAGAGAGATACAGACCGTGATCAAGGGCAGAGAGAGGAGACACAGATTCTGAAACAGCACACAGCCTGATGCAGGGCTTGAGCCTAAGTCTGACACTCAACCGACTGAGCCACCCAGGCGCCCCAAGAGTGGCTCTTCTTAATCTTTATTATAAGGCAGAAATCAGGAAGGAAAAAAAAATTCTGTAAAGGGCCAGAAAGTTAATATATTAACCTCTGAAGGTCATATGGTCTCTTGTTGCAACTCTTCAGCTCTGTTATTGTAGCATGAAAACAGCCATGGACAATATAAATGATGTGACTGTGTTCAAACAAAACTTAGTTTATGGACAATGAAATCTATGTAATTTTCAAAGGTCATGAAATATTACTTTTCTCTTGATTTTCTCAACTATTTAAAATGTGAAAAACATCTTAGCATCCTGGATGTATAAAAACAGGCTCTGGGCTGGATGTGGATGGGCCATGGTTTACCAAACCCTGCCTTAAAACAAGGGTTAAATGGATTTTGTTTCAAAGATGTTCTCTAGAAAGTAGCTTGCTACAAAACAAAGTAAAATAAAGTGGAAACAATAGAAAATAGATTAATGTTAATTAGAAGATTAGGTACTATCAGTAAACTTAAAAAAATTGATAAGATAAACTGAAAGGCAGATTATCCACTCATAAAATATGCAGATAAGGTAGTAGATAGTTTTGGGAAAACTCAAATATTCCAGAGAGATCTTTAGTACTCTTTAACATAATTATAAATTTTTTTTTAATTTTTTTTTCAACGTTTATTTATTTTTGGGACAGAGAGAGACAGAGCATGAACTGGGGAGGGGCAGAGAGAGAGGGAGACACAGAATCGGAAACAGGCTGCAGGCTCTGAGCCATCAGCCCAGAGCCTGACGTGGGGCTCGAACTCACGGACCACGAGATCGTGACCTGGCTGAAGTCGGACGCTTAACAGACTGCGCCACCCAGGCGCCCCTCTTTAACATAATTATAACTGTATTTAAATAATTTCATGTTGAGAGTTTGGTTCAATTAAATACATTTTCTTAAATATAAATTTAAATTATTTACATGATTTATTTAAATAAAAATAAAAATTATAGATTAACAATTTTTAAAATTTCAAAATATCTAGGCTATAATATAGGGAAATATTAATTGTTGGTGTTGATAAGAATATAAATTGATGAAACTTTTTGGGAAGATTTAATGATATCCACTAAACTTCAAAACATTCTTACATCAATTTTTCAGTAATTAACAGATACAATCACAGGAGCATGCAGAAATTTATGTAGAAGTATATTCACTGGAGTATTGTTTGTAATGTAAAAAATGCAACCAAACTGAACTTCCTGTCAATAGAGAGGCAGTTAAATAGATCAAGGTACATCCATATAATAACATACTATACAGTCATTAAAAGGACTGAAGCAAAACTATACATAGAACTGGAAAAGAGGGGCGCCTGGGTGGCTCAGTCAGTTAAACATCCGACTTCGGCTCAGGTCATGATCTCATGGTACATGGGTTTGAGCCCTGCGTTGGGCTCTGTGCTGACAGCTCAGAGCCTGGAGCCTGCTTCAGATTCTGTGTCTCCTTCTCTGCCCCTTTGCCCTTCACCAAATTGCACTCTGTCTCTCTCTCTCTCTCTCTCTCAAAAATAAATAAACATTACAAAAAAACAAAACAAAACTGGAAAAGATAGCTATGTTAAGTGAAGGCAAAACCAAGTTGCCAAATAGTAGGTACATAGCATATAATTCCATCTGATAGATGTATAGGCATGCATACACACACACACACACACACACACACACACACACACACACACACACACACGGACATTTTTATATGCACAGAAAATGTTAAATGATGTATTCTAAACTGTTAGCTATGGTTTTCCTGAGGCATGGCTGTGCAAAAAGAGAAACTGGGAATTTAATTTTTCACTTCAAATTAATTTACTCTGCTTTCTTCTTAAACAACGAGCATATTACTGTTACGAGTTAAAAAAAAAAATCACTTAAATAGGAAAGTTGAGCAGTAATGCCAACAAAAGCACCATCTAGAATCTAAACAGAAAACAATGATGTAATGTTAAAAGAAGATAAAATCTCCCTCACCTTATTAGCACTGATCTACATAATAGATAAAAATCCTAATATTAGCCTGAAGTGAGGGAGACTGATTAAAAAACATCTGTAATTACAAGCTAGCATAGTAAATGCTATAACAGAAGTTAAAGCTGGGTATTGGAGAAACCCAGAGAAAGTGAACCTAAATTATTGAGCTGAATAAAAACATACTGTGTTTTAAAGGACAAATGGAAAATAGCCAGGCAGATTTGGTATATGCATGTGGGGGTACTATGTTTCGGTGAAGTAAATAGCATCTGTAAAAATGTAAGGCTGTGAGAAAGAACTGGACATTAGGAAGTACAAGTAGTTATGCCAGATACAGTGCCTTTTAAAAAAGATTACAGTATCAGTGAATAACAGATTTTTCACATTATATTACATGATATTCATTCAGATACTTACTAAACATCTTCTATGTGGGAGATGCTGTGGTAGGTCTAGGTATTCACAGATAAGACAGACAATAATCAATACTTAATTGCAAACTGTGATAAAAGAAATAAGAGAGATGATGGAAAATGACAAGGAAAAGACCTATAGATTGTTCAAGGTCTCTGTGAGAAGGTCATACTTAAACGGAGACCTAAGGATAAAAAAGCACCAACCAAAAGATGGATGGGGGTGGGGAAGGGGAGACAAACATCAGGAAGAAATAGTTTTAGTTGGGAACAGCATAGTCATAGCTCCTGAACTAGGAAAGAAACTATGCTGTTTGAGAACTGAAAGACAGCTAATGTAACTGAAACTTACTTGGTAAGTGAGGTAAAAAAGAAGGTAGGCAGGTAAGGAGTGATAATCCAGGGCCTTGCAGATCAGTGTAAAGTTGGAATATTATTTGAAAGATGATGGCCATCATTGAAGGCTGTGGTTAAGCACAAGAATGCCATGTTTGCCTATTTGTTTTTAAAAGATTATTCTACTGTTTGGAGACTAGTGTGGAAAAGAGATAAAAGAACTGCAGGAATCTAGTCAAGAAATGTTAGCTTGGATAAGGGTAGTAGAGGTTGAGTGAGGAAAATGGACAATTTTAAGATGTATTTTTCTGAGATAGAAACAATACAACTTGATAGAATTGTGGGAGAGGAATCAGAAAAATCAAAGATGACAGACAGGCTGTACTGAGTAAGCAAACTGCAATTCTAACCATCACAGCAAATGTGTTTAATTAGAATGCTCTGAATTTTCAAATATTGCTCACCTCAATGTTCTGCTAAACATAGGAGTATGATGAAGTTTTAAAACAATGAGATATTTAGTAAACATAATCTCTTGGAAATAAATAGATCTAAAAGTACAATTTCCTAGTAAATAATTCAGAAAACATTCAACAAATATTTACTGAATACCTACTATATGCTAGTCACTGAATTAAAAGCTGGGAATCTGATGCAGTCTTGTGAAAACATAAATCACCCCTCTTTGTATATTACAGCATAATTATTCCTAAGAGTCACTTTAAGAATTCTAGTTAAATGTCATACTTTTTTAATCTTACGTTACACAAATTCGATACAACAAATAACTAGGTTAGCTACTTTCCCAGGTGATAATTTTCAAACTACTTTATACATACCTTTTGAAGGTTGTTTCAAAGATTCAGAACGTTTCACCAAACACTGTTGTTGAATAGCCCTCCCACAAAACGAATGGACAGGAGTTTTATTTTTCTCCAAACCCTGTGTAATTTTGGTATCAGAAATACTTCCTGGTAGACAATTTTGATTAAACTGGGAAAGAATTTGAGAATTTTTCATCTTTGTAAATGTATACTTAGGAAATCTAACTGTTCTGTTAAGGCCACTCTGATCTGCATCTCTTGTGCTCCTATGGGACAGATGCTGAGTACTTAATTTCTTCTTATAAGTAGCAGTTTCTGTATTCCTATAATCTGAACTCACATTCAAACTTGAACTTCCCGTAAGAACTGACTGTGGACTTTTCACTTGTATTGGAACATCAGTGTTATTCCAGGAGAAATGCAGATTATTGATATGACAATTTGAGTTCTTGGAGTATATTGTCAAATTTGTTGTAGCACCTAAAAAACTTGGAGAATTTCCACAGATTTCCCTTTTATCCATCTTTACTGGTTTATTTAATTGTGAGCTATTTGTGAAAGATGTGTGCCCTGAAATGCTGCTGAGATTCAAATGTTTTGATTGCACCAACTGACTTTCTTGTTTAGATGTAGTAAATATGTTTTTGGCTCCATGTTTGGAACTATTATTGATCTCAAGTGTACTTTCTGGTATCTTGCTGCCCTTTCTAATGTCTTGTTGCTGAGTTAGTCTTTCAATATCATCACATGCTTGGTATAATAAATCATCATCTACATCATCTGCTTCCCAGGTATTCTCTAATTGATGGCATGCTTTAACAATTTCATTGGCAAATGATGGATCATTCCAGTCATCAAAGAAAGAACCTAACTTTGATGCATTAGTCTGATTTGTATTATAAACACTGGTTTCATTGCCCAAAGTTGCAGAGCCAAAAGGATTTATATTAGCAGGTGCTTTAAAAGACTGATTAAAAATGGACTTATTTTCTTGTTCATTAGAATATCCTGTGTTCAAAGTAGACTTTTCAAAAGTATTTACATTAGAAGTAAATTTAGTATGCATATCTTCTTTTACTTTTGTCAGATTAGATGCAACTGAACAGTCTTGAACAATTTTATTGAAAGATTTCTCAAGTTTCATCACATATCCACTGGATGGCAATTTGTTTGGTTCATCATTTGGATTTAGTGAAAAACTGTATTTTCCAGAATCTATTAATTCCTTGTTATGTGTCTTTGAAGGGAGATCTTGTACAATTTTTGAATCCCTTAACCTGGCACCTAGGCTTGTATTCATTCTTGACTTATGTTTATCACACTTATTGTTAAAGTTACAAATACTCTTTTGATCAGCAATCTGGGCTGTTTTAGGAGCTGGGGAAAGTTCATACATTTTGACATTTTGCATAACAAAAGGTTCATTATTTAGTAAGTTTTCCCAATCATCCTCAAAATCACTGGTAGGAAATGCATCAAGGTGTTTATTAAAAGCTTCTGGCTTCTCAGTGTAAGAAGTCACACATGGATTTGTCATTCCAAGAGTATCTACTTGACAAGAAAGTGATCCTGGGGTTTTATCTGGCAGTTTTTCAGTGACCAGAGTTTCATTAGTAATGATTTTCTCCTTTTTCAAAGCGCTTTTCTTTCCAAAGGTAGTATTACTGGTGTTCAAAAAAGCATCTGACAGATCTTGGCTGAACTGTCCACTACATTTCTGAGTAGAGCCATCAAAAATGGCATTAAAGGCTGCTTCAGCATTTTGGTCAAATGGCTTCTGACTGCTATTTTGATCATTTATCACAGACATTTTGGTGTTTTCTTCCATTGGGTTCTTCATTATAGCATTATCTATTTCTGGAACTATATCATGTAATAACTGCATCTGTACATTATCTTTATAATTACTTAAAGTCTCTGCTTCTGAAATTGTCTGAATAAAATCATGATTTCTCTTCTTTTGCTCTTGAATCACATCTAGCTCTTCCATATTTTTATCAAATTGCTTAGCCAATTTCATAAGTTCTTCCTCTTGATTTTGTGTTTTCAACCTATTAAACATTTAAAAAGTCATAATTAAGAAAGCTTCTAAGAGTCATTATAAATATTCAGTTGTTATCAAACATATTTTAATATATTAAAACTCAAAATTTCAACACAATTATTTTAAGTCTAAAGTTTTACATGTCAAAACTGAAAAAAGTAATTTCTAAATATTTTAATAGAGTAACAAAATCAAAGCAGAGTATTATTAAATATATTTACTCCACTGAATGTCAGAAAAGCTGAAAAGTTTGAACTTACTTTGTGCAGCTGATTTTTGCTCTTGATTTGCCTTTTGCTACACTAGGAGTACAAGGAATAGCAGAAGCACCAATCCACATGCCTAGCATGGAGTTTGTTGTTGGTTTTTCATCCTTTGGCAGAAGGGAAAAGAGATATGTTTACAAAGGAAGGAAAGAAGGGAAGGAGGGGGAGGGAGAGGGAGGGAAAAGGAGGGAGAGGGAAAGGGAGAGAAAGAAAAGAAAGAAAGGGAAAGGAAGGAAGAAAAAAAAGAAAAAGAAAGAAAGGGAAAGGAAGGAAGAAAAAAAGAGACAGAGAAAGAAAGAAAGAAAGAAAGAAAGAAAGAAAGAAAGAAAGAAAGAAAGAAAGAAAACCAAACTTTAACTACATTGAATTATCTTCCTAAAGCAATAAACTGTGGTAAGGTGATAGTTTACTAAACAAGCTCCAGAACAATGAGAAGTTGGAGGATGGCAATAACAAGTTGCAAGAAGTGATCCATTTATGTTTCAGGAAATGAAAATATTCAGAATTTGTAATTCCTTATTTTCAAAAAAATTAACTTCTAAGAATTTAACAAGTGCATATTTAATGGCAAAGGCATAGTTATTATCAAAAGAAAACTGACTTCCTAAGAATAAAGAGAGATTCATATGGAATTCTTTCTATATCACCTGATTCTCCATATTTTCACTATCCCCATCATAATCTTTATCTAAAGTTGGACAATCCATGTTGACCTGAATTGGGAACACTTAGAATTCAGGTCAGCAGGACTGCACTAACTCACAAATGAGTTAGAAAGTGCAAGGTTAGAACTAATGCTAAGAATAAGGCAGGAATAAGAACAAAAATAAGTAGAGAAAGGAGAAAGAGAAGTTTGACCACTATGAAGGATAGGAAAAAGCCATTTTAATCCTGGATATTTTTGCTATGTGTTTCAGTCATCTGATCAAGCAAAAAATTAGAAAATGAGTTTATTCATTAGTTACAAACCAAACCAACAAATCAAATAGGTTAACCATTTTCTACTCTATTTTTGTACTTAGAATGAACACAGTACTCAGAATGAACATAATATCACACAAGGTAAAAATAATCTTATCACTAGATTATAGGATACTTGAAGGCATGGAATGATCTTATGATTATTATAGTTCAGCATCTAACAAAATGCTAGGCATAAAGAATATATCAGTTTACATTTATTTGCTAGGTTTAGGTGAAAAGATCCCTACAACTTGATACTTTAAAATCCTCAATCAACAAGCAGTTTAGCAGTTTTCTTAGATGTCCACTTGAACCTAGATTTTAGTTTCACAAAATACTCCAGTAAACCAGTAAGTTTACTTTTAGACTCTATACATTTCCACTTTTGTTTCAACAACCTTGAATTTAGGGAAAATAACATTCTTAATGATTTAATTATGGGCACTTTGTCCATTTACCAAGTATTTTAAAATTAATTGACTTTTTTAGAGAATAAAGGTAGGACAGCTTTATATGTCCAATTTTATGTATACAAGGGCCCTTGTATGTTTTTATATTAATTATATTTTTAAAATGTCTTTAATAATAATTGCATAATTCATTGATTTCCAACTACAATCCAGGTGTTATAAGGTATCTGAACATATTACTTCATTTACTCCTATATACAGTGTGTAGTTGTATAAAAATAATGAAAAAATATACATCTTCAAACAAACACCATATGAAAAGTATCCCTGAAGAAAGTGAAATGATTGTCCACTGAATATGGAAGTGCATATTTTAAAAAAATGTCACCTCTGAAAATACCAAGGTGACTTAAATAACTATTTGAGGGGGTAACTCACCTAAAAATAAAAAGCATGACTATGTCATTATGAGAACATGTCAGTCTTTTTAAAAGACCTTGATACTACCAAATATCTATAGGCTTTAAAAGTGCTTAGTTGAAAAAAGTAACATTTAAAAGCAACTAATTTCACTGTATTTTTTCTTATATACAAGTTACAACTTGCATATTGTTGCCACTTCTTTATGTGAGCTATTATTTCCAGCCCACTTAGGTAAAGGGTCCAGTAATTTACTCAACTATCTTTTTATCACAATTTAAGCTGGCCAGCCCAAACACATTTTATATGCTTCTTTCATGTGAAACCCACAACTAATGAAGATCTATTGTTAACTTATGAAGTAAATAGTATCATGGCATAAAAGCTATTTAACTACTGAACCATATGTAAAATAAATTTCTATGACATGCCAAACATGGAATGCAGAGCTAGTAGCAACATAGTTGTTTTGACTGTGCTAACTGTAATTTCGGATGTTTTATAGCCACTAAAGAAAACTTTATTTCCTGTCTCCTTCACCTGGATGACGGTGATTCCTTGTAACCACAGTTTGGCCCAGCGCCATCTATTGTTTACCATAAACAATAAACCCTTGATAAGGGTATGTCAAGGAAAAAATCCCAAACTAAAATGTTTTCTAGACTTAAATATTGTTAAATAAGAAAAAGAGAGAGAAGAGGATCAAAACAGAGGTTGACTTAAACTTTATATTTCTTTCTTTCTTTTTTTTTTTAAAGTTTATTTACTTTGAGAAAGAGAGATAAAGCGTGAGCAGGGCAGGGGCAGAGTGAGGGAGAGAGAACCCAAGCAGACTCCATGCAGTCAGCAGAACGCCATGCAGGGCTTGATCCCATAAGCAAAAGATCATGACCTGAGCCAAAACTAAGAATCAGAAGCTTAACTTAACCAACTGAGCCACCCAGATGCCCCTGAACTTGTATTTCTATTTCATTCAAGCAGTACAGGAACTGAAACAAAGAGAAAGAAACTTTTGAAGATGATTCTATGATAGCAAATAACTATCATAAACTATAACATAACCTTACATTTATAGTGCTCTTTAGTTTACAAAGAATTTTTAACTAATTTATTGCTCCTAATAGTCCAATGGAGAGGGCAAGACAAGTACTAATTCTGGTTTATAGCTGAATGAAGTTCTGAGAACTTAAGTGATTTGCGTATGGTCACTCAGTTTAGGAGGTGGACTCAGAACTGACTCCAAATCTAGTGTTCTTTCCACTTTTATGAATGTTGCTCAATGATCTTATTAGTCCACAAGTATTAACAAGAGCAATTTTAATGGGGAAAAAGTAGGCTGTAGACCGTAAACAAATACCACTCACAAAAAACTTAAAAGTTTAAATTTTTATTTTTTGATTCTATTATTTTAGTAACTTTAAAAATGAGGCCATATATGGTTGAACAACATTAAAATAAGTACAGGGGCACCTGGGTGGCTCAGTCGGTTGGGTGTCTGACTTCAGGTCATGATATCACAGTTTGTGAGTTCAAGCCCCGCATCAGGCTCTGTGCTGACAGCTCAGAGCCTGGAGCCTGTTTCAGATTCTGTGTCTCCCTCTCCCTCTGCCCCTCCCCGACTCACACTCTGACTCTCTCTCAAAACTAAATAAAAGTTAAAAAAAAAATTATAAAAAAAATAAACACAAAGCTCTAGTCGAATTTCATCACTAAAAAAATTAAAGTAAGATACATTCTTAGGAAAACATATATTACCAATTATACATTATGTCCCATTTTTCAAAACCTACATTTCAGTAGTAGAAAAGGTAAAAGTAACCTTTACTGCTCTATTTTCAGAAGAACTGTAAAAGACCAAATATTTCTCATCCAAGTGAACTATATGTGGGCCTAGTAGCATAATTTTCACGGTTTTTAAATAAACTACAAACCTAGTGATATTTACCTGAGGAGCAATACGATTAACAATATGTGAGATTTCATCACTATCAGTAGTGTAAATCTGTTTGCTTCTTCCTTTACCTAAAGAAACAAAAACATTTCTATAAATTGTAAACAAAAAACTTAATTTTTAAAAACAGCAGTCACTTCTTAGAAAACAATTTTAATTAGCATGGTTTAGATCACTGTGCACTGACATCACAAGCATATCATAACAATCACGGAAGATTCTCAAAAAACTTCTGTTGTATAAAAGTTCCTGCTACTACCTGACTGAAATTCTATAGTTAAATCCTAATCATTTACCAAATATTTACCCAGATAAAAATGCTAATTAATAATAAATTACCTAACTGTTTTGTCATTGGAGAATTTTGATCCCAAAAGATATCATTCTGTCCATCTGGATCATTAGGAGAACTGAAGGTAGATGACAATAAATCCATTTTCAGCACTCTCTTTGGTGTTTCATACCTTTCTAAGTAAAATAAAGATTAAAAAACAATTGTTGCATTGCAAAGCATTACTTTACTTCATAATACCCCAATGTCAAATATCCCTTAGATTACTTTTTATGGTACAATTATAAAATTTTCTGAGATGATATTACTCTAACCACAACTGAAATATTTCACATAAAAATCCTTGTAATACTTGACAAATTTGACATTGTAAATAGCAAGCATTTTAAGATAGACTAGTAGCTCTATGAATGTGTAACAGTGTATGATCTAATCACTTCATTCATTACCACTGGAACTTGGAGGCTTTGGGAACCACCTATAATTTATAGATACATTTCAAAAACCAAACGGCTCCCAGCAGTAAAAGTCTGTTTAGCCCTTTCATCAACTCTATCCTACTTACACTAATTACTTTAAAAAGCTTTAACGACCCATTTCTTGGTTAGTTTTGTCTAGTTACACTTTTACATTTCTTCAAAGAAATGTTGTTCTTTCCAAAACTGCTTTATGAGAGTAAACTAAAGACAAGGTAACAAAAGCCGACTTTTAAGAACACACTGTAAGAGCATTTGTTTGAAGTGCAGTGCCTACCAGGATTTATTAGAAATCCTTAAAAAATGGAACACCAAAAACTGACCAGAATATTCGGGGGCCCTTAGTTTCCTACTTTGAGGGCCAGCATACACAGGAACTTCCGGCTTATTCGTAATCAGGTGAGACATCACCAAAGCTTTGAGGAAAGAGATAGATACGGCTTTTCGTATGACCCCTCCACTTAAGCAAGTCAGGGCAAAAGTTTAAGCGGGGAGGGGAATAAGTCTCCTGGGAGCAAGGTGAAGGCAGCAAGTCTATCCGATAGCTCTCCTCACTCTGCCACTGCTGATGACTGGAGGAGCAGCCTAGAAATAGCCGCCCTTCCTCAAACAGGTAAATCACAGGACCTATTTCTGTAGCGGCGGCAAGGGAGTGGTCAAACCGAACGGGGCAGAGCTCAAACTCGGGGGTAGTGGCGTCGTGTTCCTTTCGGATTCACGAGGGGAGAAGCCCAGAGAAAGGAAAACACTTCAGACTCCACCCCCACCCGCACCCCAGGTTTCGCCTTGGCAAGCGGGCTGTGGGGCTGCAGCGCACAAGCCCGGAGAGGCCGCGTTGCCGACGTCTCACCCTCGGGGTTACTTTTACTGCACGAAGCGGCTGCTGGAGGCTGCTCTTGTTGTGGCACGGGCCGGGGAGACCTCTCTCCGGCCCTGCGGAGCCCTGAGCCGCGGGCCGACCTCAGCCGCCTCTTCCCTGGCTCGACCACCGAGCTGCATTCCTCAGCCGCCGCCGCTTTGGGCGGCGTGCTCTTCAGGCCAGGGCTGTCCCCATGTTTCCTTCGCCGACTCATTGCCTGTAACCCCCCTCCGCCAGCCGCTCCTCCTTTCACATTTTGTAACGGGAGGAGTAAAGCAATGAAACTACAAGCGGGTCTCCGCGCCAACGGCCGCCGCCATTTTGGCCGATGGGGCGCTCGTAAGAGGCGGCCGCTGATTGGTTGCGTCCGGGCGCGGGGTGGAGCGGTCAGGGTGCCAGGGCTGGGCGCTTCCGCAGCCCGCCTCCAAGACCGCTAGGCTCTGCTAGGTCTCCTGGGATTGGAAGTGATTGTAAAAGGGGCAGTGATCTGGTCGCAGTGTGAGCGCGTGTGAGGTGGAAAGGAAATGGAGTCTACTGGCATCTCTTTACTGAATTGACGACAGGAATTACGCATTACTCAGATTTAGATTATTGTGGGTTTTATTATTTTAAAGAAGAGGTAATTAGGAAGGACAAATTAAGCTATTTTTTCATAGGTGATATGTGGTTAGAAAAATCCAAAAACTGGGGTGTCTGGGTGGCTCAGTCGGTTAAGCATCTGGCTTCGGCTCAGGTCATGATCTCTGGGTCTGTAAGTTCGAGCCCCTTGCCGGTCTCTGTGCTGACAGCTGAGAGCTTGGAGCATACTTCAGCTTGTCTCCCTCGCTCTCTGCCCCTCCGCCACTCATGCTCTCTCTCTGTCTCTCAAAAATAAATAAAGGTTAAAAAAGAAAGAAAAATCCAAAAACTGTAGGAAAATTATTAAATTTGTAAATTAATGTAACGGAATTGCAGGTACGAAGTAAATATTCAAAGATCGGTTATGATTGAATATATTGGGAACAAGCATAACATTGATTTTTAAAGAACTATGATTTCTAATAGCATACAAAATCTCAAATAACTAAAAATAAATTTAACCAAAATTGCAACACCCCTACAGAGAATTATGAAATATTTTTGAAAGAAATTGATGACCTAACTACAGTTGACCCTTGAGTATGACAAGTGTTAGGGGTGCTGACCCCTGCACAGTTGAAAATTCACTGTAACTTTTGATTCCTCCCAAACTTGTATTAGCCTGCTGTTGACTAGATGCCTTTCAATAACATGAAGCTGATTAACACATATTTTGTATGTTATTTGTATTATGTACTGTATTACAATAAAGTAAGCTGTAGAAAAGAAAGCATTATTAAGAAAATGATAAGGAAAATACATTATAGTATTGTCTTTATAAAAAAACAAAAACAAAGAACTATATGAGTAGACCTGCACAGTTCAAACCCATGTTGTTCAAGGGTCAACTATGAATGGAGGATTACACCATATTCATGGATTGTGAGACTCAATATTGTTATGTCAGTTCTTCCCAAATTGATTCTATGCAAATCCATTCAAAATTGCTGTGGGTGTATGTGTGTAGGTTTGTGGATTGGGTGTGTGTGAGTGTGTAATATGACAAGTTTATTTTAAAATGTATGGAAATGCAAAGCACCAAAAATACCCAAGAAACTTAAAAAAAAAAATCCAAGAAATTCTTGAAGGTCCCTTGAAGATTAATAAAGTTGGATATGTACCCTGTATCAAGACCTATAAAGTTATGGTAATTAAGACATTGTGGCAATGGTGAAAGGAGAGGCAAACATGAAAGAAACAGGATAGATGGCTCAGAAACAGACCTTTACATAAATGGACACTAGATTTAAGACAAAGATGATACTTCCAAGCAGTGGGACGAGGACTTTTTCATAATAAATAGTGCTTGGGTGATTTGATATTCGCTTGGGGGAAAAAAAAGAAACTTAGCCTCTACCTCAAACCATACTCCAAATCGTGTGCAAGGTGATTATATATTTAATTGTAGAAGATAAAATAATTAGTGTTCTAGGAGATGATATAAATTGTCTTAATAACAGGAATGATCTTTAAATTAAAGAAAAATGTCACCAATTATAAAGAAAATATATATGTATAATTTTGATGACATTAAATTGATAACTGGAGAACTTCGGTCTATTGGAAGACAACATTAGGGAATGAAAGGCAGGGCACAGATTGGAAGAAGATATTTACCAGATGCCAAATTAGGGCCCATATGTAAAATATATGAAGAACTGATATAAATCACTGAGAAAATGATTGACCACCAATAAGAAAAACAGGTCAGATACCTTAGCCTGCTCTCCCAAAGAAAATCTCAGTGATCAACAAACTTGTATAAAGGTGCTCAACCTCATTTGTAATGAGGAAAATGAAAAAATAAAACCCTAACATGATATTCCTCAACACCCATCAGAATGGTTAAAATCAAGAAAACTGTCAATAGTGGTGTCAAGGAAGGGAACCAGAGAAGAGGCTACAGCACTAGCCAACACCTTGATTGCAGCCTGTGCAGGACCCAGAGCCTGTGGACCCAACCAGTGGGAACTGTCACATACTGCTAGAGAGAGTATTTTGGTACAACAACTTTGGAAAACAGTTTGTGGTCTAGAAATCCCACTCCTAGAAATATAACCAATGGGAATACGTGGACTGTGCATCAAGATACATTTTAGAAAAGTGTTTTTAGCAGTAAAATTTCAAAATTACCTCATACTGGAAGCCAACCAAATGCCCTTCAAGAGTACAGTGGGTAAATATATTGAGCTATATTTGCTCAACAAAATGCTGCACAGCAACTCAAAAGAAGAATTACAACGCCTTGCAACAATGTGGAAAATCTCATAAAGTTGAGCAAAAGAGGCCAAACTCCCAGGCTCTTCCTTCCCAAGGATGCTATATAATCTATTTACAGAAATGTAAATAGGTAAGGTATTATTAGGGATGTAAGTTTATGTGTTAAAATTATAAAGAGCAATCAAGGAAGCGATTACCATGAAAGTCAGGATAAAGGTTACTTTGGGGAGGGGAGAAGGGACAAGGATCAGAAGAGAATGGGGGGCATGGATGATCTGGTGTGTTGGCTTTGTTGTCTTATTCTAATTGTGATTTTGTGATAATTTATTGAGCTGAATATGTTGTTCTGTGTACTCTTGTGTGTATACATTATCAATAAAAATATTTTTTTTTCAACGTTTATTTATTTTTGGGACAGAGAGAGACAGAGCATGAACGGGGGAGGGGCAGAGAGAGAGGGAGACACAGAATCAGAAACAGGCTCCAGGCTCTGAGCCATCAGCCCAGAGCCTGACGCGGGGCTCGAACTCCCGGACCGCGAGATCGTGACCTGGCTGAAGTCGGACGCTTAACCGACTGCGCCACCCAGGCGCCCCAATAAAAATATTTTTTAAAACTTAATGTGAGGCAAAAATCTTTGTTTCCACCTGGGAACTGAAATGCATTTCTTCTTTGTAATTTACTCTCTTTTCATTCTTCAGTTTGGCTGACAGAAATCCTAGAAGTAAATCTGAGGTTCAGTTCTAGCAATTACATAAACCATTGTGACCAAGTATTTCCATTCTTTTTCCTCAGTCCTTGACTCTCTACTAATATTTCCCTTGCCATGATTGTTTTTAATATCCATATTTTAAAACCATTATTTAGTTTTATGTATTTATACCTGGATATGACTACTTGGAAGGTTACATCTCTTAAAATTCACATTAACTTGAAACTCCAATTGTTTAAATTAGTAGGAATAGTGATTTCTCTTGGGAATCTCTCCTACCTACCTATCAACTGGCCAAGAATCCCAGAAGCAGAAGAAAAAAAAAAAAAGTTCATGTTCGTACAACACTTAATTAAATAGATGGCATCATAACTATCTAAAAGACTTGATTTATCAGAAAAATATCCAACTCACACTTAGAAAATAATTAAAAGAGTTTGAAGAATTTAATATTGCCTATAGGAGTAATAACCATGTGGTAATCCTTTAAAGCATATTAATACCGCAAATAGAATAACAATGAATAATTGCCCATAACTGTCCAAATTCTATTGTGCCCAAGTAACCCTTGTAAAAAGAAACAACTGGAGCCCGAAAAACAGACATGTGTTGTTGCCTTAGCATGCCCAAGATGGCTGTGATTGTAGTCATTATGTGGTAGGAAGCTCTCATAAGTTTTAGCTTGGAAGTTACTTAATTCACACAATCTGTTACAGTTCTAAATGTAGTTGAAATTAAATGTACTTCCTAAATATAGCTCTTGAAATAAGTACAGTACAATTAACGGCTTGATAAAAAGGTTTTAAAAAATAAAAGATAGCTCTCCTAGACCTTTGAATGCAATATGATTAAACATGCCCAAACTTAGCATTTCTAGGCATTTGAATATGATGCACATATAAGTAAGGTTGAATACAACCAAAAACTTTTTAATAAACCAAAGTTGAACTCTTAACTTGTTTACTTGCAGGAATTATCCATAAGCTTGGCAGTGATTATTAAACAAAAAATAATCAAGAGTCTACGTGTAGTAATTGCCTTGTCACTTCTATCACAATGATAACTATCTGCTGGATGGATGGCTAATTGTGAGAAGTCTTTGCATCAAGAAAAGAAAATAATAAAAATCATAACGTGCTATCATGTAGCACAGTGTGTGTGTAGAGCCCAACCCCAGCTCAGAAAATATCAGATACAACTGGAAGAATCTGAACAGACAACAAAATGAGTAGAGAATTTTCTTTACAGTCCAGTTGCTATGTTTCTAAAATATACCCCCAAATGAGCCTGAGTACATATGGGGCTTATTTTTCCTCAGTCCTGACCTACTAGCAATTGTAATTAAAATCACCTACCATGCCCATCCTTCTTCTGAGGGAACTGCTTCATCAAGAGCCTCTGCTGCATTTAGTCCCACCAGGTGGTCCCCATCAGGTAAAACTGACTGGACTAGATTGGGCACTTGATTTTGGGAACGAATCCATAGGCTGGCTCTCCATCTCTGACTATCCCCCAAAATACATTGAGACAATCATATTTCTTGGAGATTTGAAGTTAAGAATTTGTTAGAGGACCTTGTACAAAACCATGGTGGGGCTGCACAAACTATGAGAAAGCCCATAGATAGTGGAATAGGAAAAAGGGGCAGTGTTATCTGACAGGACCACTGCAATGAATATGTAGACTCCAGATACTTGGAAACTGAACATTCAGCCCCAGTGTCCCAAAGCCAGGTTCTATTGTAATTCCAGTCCTTTTCTTTTTCAAAACAGGCCCATACAGTGAACTTCCTTTCCTTGAGCTAGCTAGTTA